CCCATCCCCTGTCGCCCATTCCCAGCTTCTGGCATCTTCCCTAGCCAGCCACCCTCTGCCCCCCAGCTGTGCCCTACCCCTGCCCCCCTCCCCATCCATCCCTACAGCGACTTCAGGTGAGAGGGGGCCCGGCACCTGCTAAGGACCCACCTGCTAGCTGCCCTGCCCCTGTCCTCCCTAGCTGGCCACTCCCTGCCCCCAGTCACCCAGCCCTCCCCTTCCCCTATCTCCGTCCACGCCCAGCCTAACCAGCCATTCCTGTCCACCCAGCCAGGCCCTACCCCTTCCCATCCACCCCTTCAATGACTTCAGGTGAGAGGGGCCCTTGCCCCTCCTGACCCCATCCTCCAGCCAAGCCCCCGTCCTCCAGCTGGTACACAGGGCGGTCAGGTTGCCTGTATCCCTGCCCACCCCCATGCAAAGCTGTCTGCCCAGCCTCCCTCCCTCACGTCCACCTTCCTGCGGGCCTGGGGCTGGCGTTGTCCTGGGTACTGAGCGTGAGGCCACAGGCTAGCCTGGCCTTCCCCTGCTGAGGCGGGCCCTGCTCAGCGCCGGGGGTGGGTCCCGGTGGCTCGGAGGCTGAGGTCTCAGTGGAGTGAGGGTGCTGCGGTCTGTCCTCCCTGGCCCCCATGGCCCATACCCTCTGCTACTCCAATGGCTGCTCCCTGGGGCCTGCAGCCCCAGCCCCGTTTCGTGGCGGAGGTGAGGTGGGGCTGGCCCGGATGCCAGGGTCCTCTCACCAGGCTAGGGGCACCTGAGTCCTACAGCGCTGGTAGGAGGCCGGGGGGGACATCCCAGGGATGTCCTGGCAGTAAGCTGGCGGGGGGAACTCTGCTCCCCAGGAACCCTGGAGGGGCCCTTCCTCAGCAGCTTGTGCTGTTCCTGCAAGCCAGGCACCAGGGACTGGGGGGGGTCAGGTCCCTCCTCCCCAGACCAGTCAGGGAGCTCAGTCTTGTCACCAGGGCCCCTCTACCTCCAGGTGGGAGCAGGGCAGCAGCTGGGAGCTGTAGGGGGTCAGAGACTAAGAACCAACAGGATACAAATCTAGTGCTGTTCACTTTGCTGTACAAGAAGTTTCTATTCCCAAGTCCTCACTGTCATCAGCCTTCCCTGCACCCAAACTCCCCAGCATCGCTGGACCACTTGGATTTACCCCTATTCTTCTTGGGGACCCCTTTCAAGCAGGCCCGGAGTGACCCTGGGAGGCCAGCTGATCACCAGAATCAGAAACTCCCCTGCTGCCCAAAATTCACCCCCTACCCCTTCTCTTTGGAAGGATTCCTGTCCCTGACTTTCCAGGGAAGGGGCTCTGCCCAGCACATGGTTAGTCCTCCCCTCTTGCCACTACTCTCCAATAAGGCAGGGGCTAAAAGTAACACGCAGAGAGGCCAGGGTACTGACCGGGATGTGCTTCTGCTGCCCAGCAATCTCCCCCCCACAGCTCACTCGTGCATCTGGCTGAGCCTGGCAGTGCTTCCTGTATGGACAGGGGAGAGCTTCTAGGTATCTGGGCCGAACCGACCTCATTCCCCAGGCACCGGGGCATCCCCAACAGAGGAAGACAGATCCTTCTGTCTGCCTCTGAGTAGCGCTTCTCTCTTGCCAGTGGACTAGGAGCTGTTTTTAATTTGTGAATGTACTGAGGAGTCACGGCACATCCAAGGAGATTAATTCCTGTCCCAGCTCTTGCGAAGGGGTGCCGGCAGAGCCCTCCCTCAGCAGGAATGGCTCTGGCTGTGCAGGCCGGTGGTGGAGATGTGCTGGGAAGGGCAAGGTGACCATTTAGCGCAGGGTGTGGCAAGAAGGTAGGCCTTGTAATGGCAGGTCCAGGCACACTATGTCCCTGGGATCTCCAGGGTGTTACTGGGATGTCTACGTAGTGGGAAGGAATTGGATGTCACAGGGATGTTGAGTCACATAGGATGGGCTTTCTCTATGGGGGTTGAAACTGCAAGACGTTAATTTCTAGTGGAAAATTATGCCATGGCCACTGTGACCCAGCACGAGACTAGCACCTGAGCCGTGTTGTGAAACTGAAAGTAGCTGCTCACGGGTAGGTGTAACCAGAGGTCCCCCTGCAGAGCCAGACAGTGCCCGGAGGCCCTGATTCTCAGGGACGCTAAGGACCCTTTACATTGCTCCAGCAGAGTGCGAAGGGCTGTAAAGCCGCCATGTGTTACATCTGCACCCCCTGTAAGGGACTCAGCGTAAGTGAGAAGGCCCCAGGTTTACAAGCTGCAGCTCCTGTGAATTCCTGCCCCCTGCAGCTCTGCCTGGTGAAGGTGACAGGGTGACAAGCAGGGGGGCTGGTAGGTAGCTGTCCAGGCTGGATTACGCTGATGTTGTTTATTATCCGCATTATGGTAGCAACCGAGACCAATCAAGATCAGGGCCTTGCTGTGCTGGGCGCTGCCCGGCATAGAATAAAAGACAGGCTTCGCCCTAAAGAGCTTACAAAGTAAATCTGAGACAAGAGGCTCCAGGTGGGTTTGGGCAGTCAGCAGGAGGGGACTGGGAGAGGAAGGACAAGGTTAGCTGGGTGAGCTTGTGCATGGCATTTGTCAGGGGCCAATGAGCTGGGGCAGATGGTATTAACCCCTTCATAGCCAGAGGCCTTCTGGGCTGGCACTCCTAGCAAAGTACTAATCAGTAGGAAAGCTCTTGACTGCTGCTGGAGAGTCCCCAGAGTCGTGGCTTGGAAAGGGTTAACCCAGCATACAGCGTGGCCCCCAGAGAGGCATTAGTGACCAGCGCTAATCCTCAGCTTCTGACTGTTGGTTTCTGCTGTTATGGAAATGTGGGGCCTCACCATTCTTAGCTCTCCAAAGCCCGTCTCTCCCTGCAGAGCGCCTTTTTAGGTGCCCACATTAGGAGGCTGGGCTGACAGTGAACTGAGTTGGCTTTTGCACCTGCCTCTGTGCAACCCAGACACTGGGGGAGCTCTCTGTCTCTGTCTTTAATTTGTTACTTGAAACTATTCTTGGCTATAGGACCAGAGACACCTCAAGCCCATACAGACAGCGGTCACTAGGGCTGGGTGCAGTTCTGCTGGGTCACAGGGAGAGCTGGAGTGTGAGCTGGCCAGGTTACAGCAGAGAGATGGGGAAAGGAGCCACGTGGGCCTGGGAGGAAGGAGCAAAACTGCCCTTGATTTCTTCCTGTGAATGATTGTGGACTCCTCCATTACTCAGTGTCTGTCATGGGGGTCCGGGTCTGTGTGACGGAGGGGGGAAGGGGGATGTGTGTACCTGTGACTGGGAGAATGAGAACATCCATGGCCCCACTTGAGTGTGTTTAGAGAGAGAGAATTTTAGGGTGTAATCCAACCCCTACAAGAGTCTATTGGGGGGGTTCTTCCCCATTCCTTTGAAGCATCTGGCCACTGTCAGAGAGAGGAGTGGGGTGGATGGGCCGTCTGGCGGTGTCTCTGGGGGATTAATCTCTCTCTCTCTCTCTCCACTTCCCTCCTGGTGTCTGTCTCATGGAGGAGCTAGTTTTGGTTCTTTGCTTTCCCCCCGTTCTGAACGTGGCGGTGACGTAGGACACGGTTGCCCCACAGAGAAATCCCCTCGGTGTCTGAGAGGCAGCCGTTGTGTGGGGTGAAATCACACAGCCAGCTACTCTCGGGCATTCAGGTGGGGAAGCCAGAGCATGTCAGGGCAGAGGAAGAAGAGAGACGTGCAAGGGGCACTGGCGAAGGGCTCTGCCAGTGGAGGAGTGAAGCTCTCTCACTGTGTTAGCCCCTGGCTACTAGCCAGTCTTGTTCTGCACCTTCCCCGAGGCTAGGGTGTTGATGGAACCTTCTAGAAGCAGCATGTTCTCAGCACATGCCCTGTCTCGCAGCGGGGACCCCACACCAGCGCACAGCCCAAGAGCTGAATAAGAGCAATAGTGGGAGGATGCTCACGCCACTGGAGACCAGCCCAGTGGGGGCAGGACGTGGCTGGAGGGATCTGGAGTCCCAGCCACGTTGACAGGGACTGCCTGCGAGACGGTTTCTGTCACAGACTCTCTGACTTTCTGGGGAAGAAACGGCTTTGGGGAGGCATGCAGGTGGCAGCAGCCAGGAACTGAACTGAATAAACTAGCAGCAGGATTCGAAGCCGCGCACTCGAGGGCAGGGCTCTGCCTGCCCGGGGCTGAGGTTTAGAGCCTGTCCCCCTCTACTCCCGCCACTTGCTGTGCTTGTTCCTCATCAATAAAAGACTTGTTCGAACCAAAGTTACCTTGAGATCCTCTCAGAGCCTTTGCCTGGATCCCAGCAATATTCCAAGCCTGGCTCTGGAACTGCAAATGTGGCACTCCTGCCTGGTTGGTTGGTGCTGTGGTGGCGCCTAAAGACCATAACCGAGATCATGGCCCCATTCTGCCAGGCGCTGCCCAGTGAGAGACTGTCCCTGCTCCAGAGCCCCTGCAGTCTGAATGGACCCGACACACACAGGCTGAAAGAGAAACAGAGGCCCTGACCAAAGCCACCCTGCAGATCAGTGGCAGAGCTGGGGTCTCCTGAGGCCCAGCGCGGTACCCAGACTTCTCTTCTCCTCTGCTGATGCTGGCCTTTCCCCATAGTGGCTCAGAGCTCCACCTGAGAGATTCACTGGAAGAGGCAGCATCTTCTTATACCTGGTTTTAAATATTTTTCCTAAGGGCTGAAGCCAAGGCCCTGGGGAAGGTCAGGGCAGGAACCCGTTAAGCCAGGCCGGCCCCCTGTGGAGGTCACAGTCTGCAAAGCCTGATGCATCCATCTGCCTGCAGAGGCCTGGATTCTAGTCTCTTCCCCAAGAGCTTGGCTTTGCAGAGTGAATTCATCTGGCACCGGCGCCACATTTCCAAGGTGAGTTAGTGGGGCTGTAGCACATGGCGGGAGGCGAGACCAGCAGGGGAAAAACCAGGCTGAGAATTGCAGGAACCTCCCCTCTCCGAAATCCAGAGCACAGCTCAAGATGTCCGGGCATGAAATTGGTGCTATAGGAGATACAGGGGCTCCCCTCTGCCCAGTGCAGAGCACTCCCTCTGGCACCCGAGGAGCGCCGTGCCCAGGCCTGGGTGGGACGCAGCAAGGGGCGTCACTCTCCCATCGAGTGCGGCTCTTTGGTCCTGTGGCTTGTGCAGCGGGGAGGGCGCTGGCTGCAGACACCCCTCAGCCCAACAGAGGGACGGCAGGAAGGTGCGTCTCCTTTAGCCCTCAGCCCCCATCTCTGCCTGCATGGCCGCACTGTGCCCAGTACCCTGGCCTCTTCATGGCTCTGACCATGAGCCAGGCTTTGGCAACCCAGAGCCCTGCCCATCCCATCCTGCTTGTGTAACCAGAGAGCTTATTCTAAACCCTGTAAGCCCCCGTGGGCAGCGATAAGGAACCAGGTGCGGGTGGGGAGACGCAGAGCCCCCGCCCCCACCAATGCTCGGGGCACTCTGGAGGACCAGAGCCTGAGTTCCCGGGGAGGAAAGAACCTGGGACCCTCCGTGCTTGGCCACTTGTGCCTGGGCACTTCAGCAAAAGCAGATTGCCCTGAAGGACAGAAGCGGAACCCCGTGGGGGCTCTTTTATCCCGCACCCCCAGCTACACCCACGGCTACACCCTTGAGCTCCCTCCTGGGGGAGAGGGAAGTTTGTGTCTTGAGTTCCAACCCTGTGATCCCAGGCAGACAGGAACAGAGTCCATCATCTGAGCTCCAACCCCAGCACTGACACTGCTTCCCTGGGTGCAAGTCCCGTCCCCCCTCTGGGCTCAATCTGCCCATCCGTGACCCTGATCCGCCTGCCTGGTGGGTGCCCGAAGTGCCAGGAGAGAAGGTTTGCAAGGGGACGCTGGGAGGTGTGATCTCTTTACTCCATGCTGTTGGGTAAAGCACCATCAGGGAGGGTCTCCATACCCTGCCTCCTCATCCACGGGAGGGATCTCCTCTCCCTGGGCTGGCAGGGCTCAGCCTGGCACCCTCCCCAGGGGAAAGAGTTGGTTTCCGCAGGGGCTCTCCATAAGGCCCCCACTCTCCATAGCCCAGGCATCATCCTTGAACCCGAGCTCTCCTCCACCTCCTTCGCCAGCAGAACTGGCCATCACCATCTTGGCAACACTTCCCCAGGCCTCGCCTCTCCTCTCCTGGACTCCTCCCCCCGGGCCTTCAGCCCCTCTCACCGGGACTAGTGCAACTCTCTTCTGCCAGGCTTGCCAAGCCCCGGTCAGCAGCTTGGGCACAACGAGGTTATCCCCTCCTCTCCCCTCCCCACTCTGCCCTCTCCCTTCTGGGTCAGAATCGCCCTCGCTGTTTTCAGAGCCTAGCCCAGGGCTAGGGAACGGATCTGGCCCACCTGTTCCTCGTTAACAGCTGCACCAAGGACAGCCAGGCTCGATACAGACCTGATTTCTGTGACTGGAGGGAGGCAGGAGATGGGTGAGGACGCTGGGGCAGAGCCTGTGATGAGCAGGGGGAAGGGTTTGGGCCTGGAGGCCCACATGGCTGCTGTAAGCGGATGGAAAAGGCCTGTGAGCTCCTGTGGTGATAAAGAGCAGGGCAAGACGCCAGGTGGAGAGGGAGGCCAGCCCCCATGGTGGGGGTGGTGGAGGATACATACATCTTGTGGAGTTACTGAATGAAAGGGAAACTGAGGCAGGGTGCCACAGAGCCACCCCAGGCCACCAGGTGCACTTGGCAGGCAGCCAGGGCTGTTACAGAGCCCCTCAGACGCTGGGACTCTGTTCTCTTCTCACCGATCTTCGGCTGTCTTCTGCCTTCATGCATCTCCCCACTGTCGGGGCAAGAACTTTCCCCTCCACAGCTCGTACGACCAGGCCCAGCCACCTTATCCCTTGCTGCCTCAGCAGCTCCCCGGCTCCTTTCATAGCCAGCTGGAGCCGCCTCTCTCTCCTTCCCTGCCACTGTGCTAATTCCTTTCCCTTTGGGATCTCGGGCTGGGTGCAGACTCAGCGCCTCCGTGCTCTCGTACCACGGCTCTCTGGTTCTTTGGGGGCACAAAGTTGGGAGTCGAGCTGTCTGGCCTGGTGTGTTGTTGCCCCCGCAGATGGCTGGCGAGCTGCAGGCTCTCAGCCCTCCCAGGTGGAGAGACAAATGGGGAGGTGTGTGCGTGTGCACATCCTGGCCGTGTATCTGTTTGGGATCTGGGGAGGAGGGTGCATGTCCATGTCCATGCATGCACATCCTGGCCGTGTATCTATTTGGGGCAGGTGCACGCAATCTCCAGAGGGTTTATAGAGTCCAAGGCCAGAAGGGACCTTGCTGATCAGCAAGTCTGACATCCTGTGTCACGCAGGCCATGGGACTTCCCTGAATCGGTTCCTGTTGGATCTACAGCCCGTCTTTTTGATTTCAGTATTTCCAGTGCTGGAGAATCCCCCACAGCTCTAGGTAAATTGTCCCAATGGTTAATTACTCTCACTCTTAAACATTTGCACTTTATTTCCGGTCTGAATATGTCTTGTTTCAACTTCCCAGCTGTTGGCTCGTGTTAGATTTTTGTCTGCTAGACTGAAGAGCCCGTGATCAAATATCTTGTTCCCCAGGAAGGTACTTATAGACGGTGAGAAAAATCATCCCTTAAACTTCTCTCTAAACACATGGAGCTCTGTCACTGGAAGGCAGGTTTTCCAGCCCTTTCATCAGTCTCATGGGTCTTCTCTGAACCCTCTCCAGTTTAAACTGATCCAATTTCTCATGCAGGGTTAGCTACTAGAAGGAGGTTTTCATTCTTTCCCTTCCTTCCTCCTTTCCTGGCTCCGTTCCCCATCTCCTTTCCTCCTTTCTTGTTCCCCTGCTCCTCTGTCCCCTGCTTTGTGCCCGCTCTCCATTCCTCCTGCAGGTTTTACTGGGACCTCATCATGCTGCTGCTGATGGTGGGGAACCTGATCATCCTGCCCGTAGGCATCACCTTTTTCAAGGATGAGAACACACCACCTTGGATTGTCTTCAACGTGCTCTCGGACACCTTCTTCCTGGCCGACCTGGTGTTGAACTTCCGCACGGGCATCGTGGTGGAGGACAACACGGAGATCATCCTGGACCCGCACACCATCAAGATGAAGTACCTGAAGAGCTGGTTCCTGGTCGATTTCATCTCCTCCATCCCCGTGGATTACATCTTCCTCGTCGTCGACCTGGAGACTCAGGTGGACTCCGACGTCTACAAGACAGCGCGGGCCCTGCGCATCGTGCGCTTCACCAAGATCCTCAGCCTGCTGCGTCTCCTGCGGCTGTCCCGCCTCATCCGCTACATTCACCAGTGGGAGGAGGTGGGACTGCCGGGGGACGGAGGGGGTCGATTTGGGGGGATCCCAGCCTGGAAGGATCAAGGGGGAGGTTCAGAGCCCCTGCCCAGGGGGAGGGGCATCTTGGGGACCTGTGGTTGCGAGGCTTAAGGAGCTTTTGTGGGGGGTTCAGGGGCATTTGGGGTCCTCCCCTGCGGGTACCTGGAGGAGAGAGCTGGCTTTTCACAGTCTTCCTCCCGTCTTGTGCCCTTGCTCAGATTTTCCACATGACCTACGACCTGGCCAGCGCCGTGGTGCGGATCGTTAACCTCATTGGCATGATGCTGCTGCTGTGCCACTGGGACGGCTGCCTGCAGTTCCTGGTGCCCATGCTGCAGGATTTCCCTGAGGACTGCTGGGTCTCCATCAATCACCTGGTGGTGAGTGCCCCGCCCGGCTCGTCTGCACTGGAGCCGGAGATCCCCAGGATCTTCGTGTAGCCCTGAATTTGCTGCCCACTGGGGTGGGGCTGTCGGGCTCCAGCCTGTCCCTTCCTTGCGGGCTCTGCTCTCCTCGGCATCTGTCACCCATTCTGGTCTAAGAGACCCCCGAGGCGGAGCGGTGCCATCCGCTGCCCTGGTGCCCATCATGGGACATAAGGAGCAAATCCTTTATTTTACAAGGCAATTGTTTAAAACCATCCCCCACCCCAGACTGCCGCAACAGAGCTGTGTTCCTGGGGGCTCCCGGAGGAGCTGTGCCCAGGAACAGGCTGGCTGGGGAACAATGGGGGGAATCCCTGTCCAGGGCCATGGGCTCCGTGCAAAGTCCCGGGCTCCACTGTGACACATGCACTGTGTCACTCTGTTAACAATGACTGTGCTGGAAGGCAGATCCCCTCCCACCCTGCTCAGCGGCCAGGGGCTGCGTGGGGTCAATGAGGGCAGAATTTGATCTCCCTGCCCCGTCCCCAAGCCAGGCTGGCCCTGCAGGGCTAACAGGAGAACTGCCTTTGGGGGGGTTGATCTCCTGATTGAGAGACTGGGGCTGCAGTCTGTGTAACGGGGATCGTGGCATGTGCACGGGGTGGGGGAGGCTTAGTGTTTATAAAGGGACAGGCAGGTGATAAATAAACCTTACGCTGATGGCTCCAGCCTGGGAGACCTCACAGACCAGACCATCAGGCATGTTCCAGGCTGGGAGCGTCCCCTGGCACACACGCTGCTACACACACACTCTTACACCCCCCCAGGTGCACACTTACACCTGTGCTAATTACACATGCACACATGTGCTGTCCAGCTGGGGGCTGATGGAGTCTGATTGCAGCCCTGCAGCCATCAGTCAGACAGGGGAATCTCTCAATCTGGGCGTGTCCCTGCTGCAGCACATCTCTGCCACTAATTAAATCCGACAAGCAAGGGAAATCCCTCCCACCAGCTGCCAAGTGACAGCAGGCAGGAGGGGCTCCTGCTGCCTCCCTGGGAGCTGGGCTGGGGGCGAAGCCTCTGGTCCTTAGATCAGCCCAGAAGCCGCTGCCCCTGGGGAATGGGGCCCTGCCCCGGGGGGTGAGGCCACAGACGTGTTCCCCTGCTGGCTGGGAGTTCACATTTTCCCCCCCCGGGATGGGAGACACAGAGCGGCTGCGTATTCGAAGAAATCCCTGGCTGCAGTGGCAGGAGTTAACCGGCTACAGCCTGCTCAGGTGCCCTCCTGTCTGCAGAACGACTCCTGGGGGAAGCAGTACTCCCATGCCTTGTTTAAGGCCATGAGCCACATGCTCTGCATTGGGTACGGCCAGCAAGCTCCGGAGGGGATGACCGACGTCTGGCTCACCATGCTCAGCATGATTGTGGGTGCCACCTGCTACGCCATGTTCATTGGCCACGCCACTGCCCTCATCCAGTCGCTGGACTCCTCCCGCCGGCAGTACCAGGAGAAGGTGAGTGCCCTGCAGGGCTTGGGGGAGTGAAGCAGGCCCCAAAGCTCAGGCAGGGTGGTAAGGGGCAGGCCTTGAGGCAAGCAGGGGAGGTGATGGGCTGGTGTGGGGGAGATAGGGCCTGGGTATGAGCTGGGAATGAACAGATACTTGTGTCACTAAACACTGCCTGACCTGTGCCGCTCCTTGCCAGCTTCTCCCCTGGTTCTATCCCGCGTCGGCACACCTGGCCCAGGGCTGCCTGATTCCAGGCCTGCGGAGGCTGTCTGGCACCACACTGCACTCTTCACTCTTGCCCTGGGGCTTGGGCCGCAGGCGTGGGCCCCCTCCCACCGACCTATGGAGCCCCTGCCCTTCCCATCTGGGTGTTTCCAGCCCTGGCATGAGCGTTTCTGTCTGTCCCTCCAGTACAAGCAGGTGGAGCAGTACATGTCGTTCCACAAGCTGCCCGGGGACACGCGCCAGCGGATCCATGAGTACTATGAGCACCGCTACCAGGGCAAGATGTTTGATGAGGAGAACATCCTGGGGGAGCTGAGTGAGCCTCTCAAAGAGGTAGGGAGTTCTGGAGCCACGGCCAGCCCCGCCGCCCCCTCTGGGGGTGATCGCTGGCGGGTTGCTGCTCTCGGAGGGGTATATTGCTTCCAAGTGACCCTCTTTGCTGCCCTCCTCCCAGGAAATCATCAACTTTAACTGCCGGAACCTGGTGGCCAACATGCCGCTGTTCGCCAGCGCCGACCCCAACTTTGTGACGGCCACGCTGACCAAGCTGCGCTTCGAGGTCTTCCAGCCTGGGGACTTCATCATCCGCGAGGGCACCGTGGGCAAGAAGATGTACTTCATCCAGCACGGCGTGGTCAGCATCCTCACCAAGGGCAACAAGGAGACCAAACTGTCCGATGGCTCCTACTTCGGGGGTGAGGCTGGGCCGGGAGAGGAAGGAAATGGCCATGCAGCTCCCCAGATGGGAGGGGGTGTCTGTGGGATGGAGATGTGACGGGATCCCCGGGGTGCAGCCTGGAAGCGTGGGACCGCTGTACCCCCTTAACTCTCTCCAGCCTGGGTGTCTCTCACAATGACCAGCCGCAACCCCTCCAGGCGCTGTGATGTGGAGCCCCACATCCAGCTAGATTGCATGAATGCTCCCAGAGCCACTCATGAATCAGACAGGGAAAGACACCAGCCGAATCCCCCCAGCTCCCAGCACTGTGCCTCAGGAATATACCGTCTTGCACTGCTCAAGACAAGCAATGCAGATTTATTAATTGGTTCACCACTTCATCAATGGAAAGTGGATATACACCAGCCTTTGCAAACCTGAGCAGTTATACCACACACTTCATACAAACTCACTGGTAAAGATAAACAGTAAAATAAACTTATTGTCTACAAAAGATAGATTTTAAGTGGTATTAAGTGATGGACAAAAAGTCAGAGTTAGTTACCAAAATAAAACAAATATAAGCACGCAGTCTAAACTCTGAACCCTATTAGCCTGGGCAACATCTAGATTAAGCAGTTTTTCTCACCCCACTGGATATTGCCGTTCATAGTACACAGATTTCACCCCTGAAATCTGGGCCAGAGTCCTCTGTTGGAGTCTCAAGTCTTCAGTGTCCTTGTTGTTTGCAGCATAGGTGGGGGCAGGAGAAAGGCCAAGCATGGGTCCACTGTGTCTGTTTTATACCCTTAGTCCATGTGCTTGGCGAACATAAGTTCAGGCATGTCTGTGAGCACTGCTGAGTCCCCAGGCAAGGTTGAGCAATTCCCCTGGTGTGGCCCCATGCAGGTGAGTCATTGCATTGTAGCTCCTTGCTGGACAATGGCTGTTGATGGATTGTTTGACACCCTGCCCGGATGTTGGTTACTTTCCTGCTGTTGACTCTGAGGGTGGGGGGCTAATACCTGGCTGATTCCCCAACTTACAGCCTGTTTTAGTGACAACCATACAACACAATTTTCATAACTTCATATGCATTAATGATCTACATATATGGTAGAAAAATGACTTTCAGTAGATCATAATCTTTCCCCTGATACCTCACACAGCCTGTTTTATATGCAAGTTCACAGTCGTATATAAATGAGGAAAATGGGGGTACAGGGCACTCCCCCAGGGTACAGAATGTCACAGGAGAATCCTAGCCCCAGCTGTTGTACTCCTGTGCCCACCCCTTCATGCCCCTAACTTAGGCTCCACCCACCCGGGTTTACTAAGGTGCCCCTCACCCTACAATCTAAGGCTTCTTCGAGTTAAAATACTTAGTAATCTACTGCTCATGCTGAGGAGGGAGTCTTGTCCAATGGTTTGAACTGGAGGGGCTGGGAGCCAGGACTCCTGGGTTCTCTCTCCAGCTATGGGAGGGAGAAGGAGCGGTGTCTAGGGTTAGAGCAAGGTGTGGCCATACTGGACAGGACTCCTGGGTTCTCTCTCCAGCTCTGGGAAGGCAATGGGGGAGAAGGAGGGGCTGGGAGCCAGGACTCCTGGGTTTTCTCTCCAGCTATGGGAGGGAGAAGGAGCAGTGTCTAGGGTTAGAGCAAGGTGTGGCCATGCCAGACAGGACTCCTGGGTTCTGTTCCTGACTCTGTAAGTGGCTGTTGCGTTGCCTGGGGTCGGTCCCTTCCCAACTTTGTGCTTCAATTTCGTTCAGCTCACAAGCTCCTGTAACATAAGAGGCACTAGACAAGGTAACAGTCTCCCCTTCTCTGGCTGGGGGGTCGGTGCCAGCAGGGAGGTGGCCATGGCCATGATGCCGAGCTCTGTGTCCCCACAGAGATCTGCCTGCTGACGCGGGGGAGGCGCACGGCCAGCGTCCGGGCTGACACCTACTGCCGCCTCTACTCACTCTCGGTGGATAACTTCAACGAGGTGCTGGAGGAGCACCCCATGATGCGTAGGGCCTTCGAGACCGTGGCCATGGACCGCCTGGACCGCATCGGTGAGGGAGCGCCCGCCCCAGGTGCATGCCAGCCACCCCCACGAATCTCCTTGCTCCCAGGCAGATACCCCCTGCTCCCCGACCCCCTTCCCCTGTCCTTGGGCCCCTAACGTCAGGGGCTTTTCTTTCCCTGCCGACTTCGGGGCTGGGCTGAGGCGCCTGCTCTGGGATTCCCTCCCTCTCCCCAGGAGGGGGTAAGGGGAGCCGCTATATGGCATCGCTTTTGTTCACAAGGAGGGTCTGTAAGTTACTTCTCCCAAGCTCAGCGTCCCACTGCCTCCCCCTTGCACTCCTCACTGGTGAGGGCCGACCTGACTAGCTGCTGGCCCTGGGGGCAAAGGGTGCCAGGCCTACACCCTTCTCACACAGCTGTAGATACTCAGCCAAGAAAACGGCTAGTGTCACGTAACCCCATGGTAGGAGCAGGGAGCCAGGACTCCTGGGTTCTATCCCCCGCTCCTCACCCTCCCTGTCTGTAAGGCGGTGGAGATGCTCATATCTGCCTGCTACTCCCGTGGTGCCCCTGGCCCTGGGGCACAGCTCAGGCAGGTGTTGGTGACCCTGTCTTTTCTCTCTGCCCCTCAGGTAAGAAGAACTCCATCCTCCTGCGCAAGCGAGCAGAGCACAGCTCGGGGGCTATGAACAACGAGATGATCCAGCAGATTGTCAAGCACGACCGGGACATGGCCCACAACATCCAGGACCTGCAGCAGATGGCGGTGGGCCGGGAGCTGAGTGGCAAGCCAGTGATCTGGGAGCCCCTGGTGCATGCGCCACTGCAAACGGCAGCTGCCACCACCAACGTGGCCATTGCCTTGACTCACCAGCAGAGCCTGCAGGCCCACATCTTCCTGCCCCCCTCCTCCATCTCCAGCCCACTCTCACCTGAGGCCACCCTGCTCACCAGGCAAGTGCGCAGGTCCCAGCCCAGCCTGGGGGGCTCCCGGCCCTCCTCGGTGAGCTCCCAGTCCGGCGCACAGTCCCACCTGCAGACGCCTGCAGCCAACTCCCCTTCATCGCCCATGGTCCAGTCCCAGTCGCCTCTGGAAAGTGGGGGTCAGAAAGCTGGCCACGTGGGACTGCCACAGCCAAGGCTGGTGCAGAAGGGAGAGCCCCTGGCGATAGCAAAGCAGCCTCTGACGGGCTCCCAACCCCAGCTCTCCAAGTCCCGAGGCACCTCAGTTTCCACGTCACTTCTGCAGCAGCCAGCAGGGGCTCCGTCCCCCAGCTCTGAGCAGGCGCTCCCAGCAGGGAGAACTCTCCACTACAGCCTGTCCCGAGCCACCGGCTCCCACATCTCGCTGCTGATGCAGCCGCAGCAGCTGGTGAAACACAGGAGCATCCAGGGCCTACCCATCGGGAGGCTCACCCAGGACGTCCGGCTCCTGTCAGCATCTCAGCCGTCCCTGCCCAATAAAGTCGCCCAGCAAGTGGATGGGAGCTCCTCCCCTCAGGGCAGAAAGTCAGCGGGGAACCTGGCTCACAGATCATCTCCCTCGGTAGCTGGACTCCTCACCAAGCCACCCCCTGGGGTTCCAGGCCAGCCAGCACACCCACAGCAGATGCCTTCAGGATCTTTGGTCCAATCCAGCCGGCCCGTGAGCGGAGCGTCCACCCCGCAGTCTCCCGTCTCTACGCCCAGGCATGCGGCAGGCCCCTCCCGCAAGGGCTCCGTGGCATTCAGCCCTGAGGTGGAAAGTGGGAAGCCCAAACTCCCATCCAACATATGAGAGCCCAGGGCTGGGCCCAAGCGTGGGGGGGAGAGGAGTGGGCTCGCTGGAGAGCCGTGCTCCTGGGGCTGTTTGACATGGGGCTGGGGCAGGGAGAAAGGGGGACAGCCTCCCCCAAGGCCCCCACCCAGGGCTGAGGCTGAGTGGGCAAGGAGAGGAGATGGCCAGGGGTGACCACCTACCGCAGACACTGACTCTGCCAGAGTCATATGCCTGGCTGCAGGGCAGGCTCTGCCCAGGGGTCGCTCTGGGATTCTCCTGACTCCACTGAGGACAGGAAGCCACTAAAAGGCTGCCCCCATCTGCACCCCAGAGCAAGGCGGCAGCAGGGATGTGGACTGGGCTGACTCCATCAGTGCCCTCTGCACTCTGCCTCTCCCTGGGAAACCAACCTTGCAATGGGACCCTGCCCCTACTCTGTCCCCTTGCCATGGGGCCCTGCCCTATTCCTCACTCCACCCGCTCCCAATGGGCCCAGCCCCTGCCCTGCAGGGCATAGGCCCCACCATGGTGAGTAGCGTCAGGAAGGCACTCAGCGGCTCCTCCCACTCATGTTTCTCCATTAGGAAATTCTCCCAGCCCCCCCACCTTGCCCATCCCTCAGCTGTGTCCCCACAATGGCCTGGTTCAAGCCTTTGCCCTGTGGGGGAGGCAGGGGGAGGGTGACAGGGCCAGAGCCCCAGGGTGAGGCCTTTCCCCTCACCCACAGCAAGGGGACAGAGTGGGGGGGGTGGACCCCATGGAGAGGCCTTTGCACTGGGGGAGGGCAGAGTGGGAGGAGGTGGGGAATTGCAAGGTTGCTGAAAACTGGAATCCCCCTCAGTCCAGCTCCCAAGCCTCTGTACCCAGAGCAGGACGACAGGGGCCCCATGGCGCTGGCTGCCATGGCTGACCCAGGAAGCCAAGATGAATCCATCCAGCACCCCATGGTCCCAGGCAGCTCCGAGTCCCCAGGACTCCAAGTGTCTCCCCTCTCTCCCCCTCATCCCCAGCTGGTCTAGTCTGAGAGGCCACACAGATCCTCATGCACGTGGCCTCTGCCCCCAGAGGCCTGGCAAGTCACTGCCACTTGTGAACACGTCTCAGCAGCCCCGTCTCCCATAAGGTGAGGTTAAATGTGTGCAGGAGCTCATGCAAGTGCCTCTCGCCCTAGAGAACCCAGATCCCTGGGGAAGGGAGGCATGGGGAGCAGGCATGTCTCATCCCCCACCTCTCCGAGCACCTGGTCTTTATAGTCAGATAGTCCCTGTAGAAAGGGGGAGATCTTGACCCAGCAGAAGGGAGCCGTGGCCCAGATCTATCCTGGCTGTAACTGTCTGGGCTGGATTTGAGCTGGTGGGTTCCCTCCACCTCACAGCTCCTGGCCTATACTGGGGTCCAGGAGGCTGCCTCTGAGGACACAGGCCCAGTGCTGGCTTCCCTGAGGGGTTTGTTCCTGGTATCTGTGGCTTGTCAGGAGAAGATTAATCAACTCCCCTTGGTGCAAGGAGCCAGGCCTGGAAATACAAAAGCTGAATAGAAATGTCCCGAGGTCCCCCAGGGCCTGTGCTGGGAGGCCAAAGGTGATGTGCATTCCTATGAGACAGGCTCTGATGGATGTTCTGGGAGCCTTGGGGCAGCCAGACCCAGAGACCTGACTGAAGGGCCTCCTTGGCTGGGTCTTGTCCCCTACACTGTATTGAGGCAGGGAGCACAGGGGCTGCAGTTCAGGGCTCTGTGTCACCCCGAGATGTGCATTTCTCACTGAGCATGTTCTTGGCAGACCAGACGGTTTCCTGCTCCCCTCTTGTGGGAAGGGACATGGAAAGAGTTTTGCTACCTCTGCTCTCGACTGCTAGCTCCTGCACCCCAGGAGGGTCATTGAGAGCTGGGCCAGGGGGGTTCTCTCTTACCTTGCAGGCTGGTGCCCATTGCCTGGGGTTAGTCTGAGTGAGCAGCACTGTCCCAGGGAGTTGGGTGTCGGGAAGGGTTGGTCCCCACCCCCTGTCCATGGTCAAGTCTTGCTAAAGACCCAGCCCCAGTTTCTTGAAGTCAGTCCAAGATGCTCTTCAGCATTAAAGTGACTCCAGGGAGATTGCAGAGGAGATGCTCACATTCCCCCACCCCAGGCCTGTCAGTCACGCCCCAATCACTGCCTGGATCTCAGCTCGAAGCAATGTTGCTTCCTGCACTTGTAGCCTCCCCAGGGGGAGGATTCTGCGTCCCTGTACAGAAGGGTTGGGATTTCCGGGGAGTCTCCCGGCTCAGCCCAAGCTGCCCCTCTCCAGGAACCAGTAGTTAGCAATGTGTGTGCGAGTCGTGGCTCTGCTAAGCAGCTGAATTCTGCTTACGGTGTTGCTTTTGGGTCCAAACGTGTTACTGATTCGGGTTAGAATAGTGTCCCCCACCCCAACTCCGCTGTGCTGTATAGCTTCTTCTTTCCACTACCAGAGTCAGGAAAATCGTATCTTGTAGTCCCTGCTCTGGGAGCACTGACAGTGTCAGCAATATGGAGCTCAGCCCTGTAGGTACCTGTGCTAGAGGTGATAGGCCAGCCATGGCTAGGCACAGTGTTGGGCTAGGGGTTCTTTTCGTACAATACTTCGTAAAGGTAAGTTGTTTAGTTCTTCTCTTCATTCGTATTTTGGGATGTTGGGACCAGAGTCTTCACTGCAGGACGAGGAGGGCGAGCTCAGCCCTTGGCAGAGTTCAGTCAGGTGGGAATCACTTTGATGCCTGTATTGGAGGGAGTATTCAGCACTGCCTTCTCATGGACATGAGTGTCCTTTCCCTCTGTCCCTGCCTCCCCCCATTCCACTTGGCCCCGTGTGTCTGTCCCAGCAGCTCCTCTGGGAGGGGCCTGCAGTCAGGTCGCTTAGATTCAAACATTCCAGGATCTTCTTGTTTACACTACGTAATGTAGAGACATTTGTAGCAATTGTGGTAGGATTCCATTGAGAGGAAAAGTGCCAAGGTGTGGGCTGGCCCAGGTGGCAACCGCAGAGCCGTGGCCCTCCTTCCACAGCGTCTGGAACCTTTCTGGTCTTTCCAGAGAGGAAACCATACTCTCTGCAGCTGTGTCACCCTGCGGCTCTTCCCCTGCAGGTTCCCCGTCATTGCTAACCCTGGGCAGCCTTGCTGCTGAGAGTGCCAGCGTTCACGGTGCTCTGGGTAACCCCCAGCACAGTACCACTGTGCTGCCCGGCCTTGTTCTAAGCAGGGTTACAAACACGGCAGCCGTGTCTGTTTGTGTCACCCCCGGGGGAGTGGGGCGCTACATGCAGCAGGACATAGCTCCTGCCCTAGAGAGAGGCTGTCACTTCCAGCCCTATTAGCAACAGGGGGAGAGGCCACAGTAGAAGCACCCTGTGTGTGTGTGTATGTGCGCGAGTCTAGTCACCAAAGACCATGATCCTTCACTCTTGCACTCACAGCAGTTGATGTACAGAGCTTGTAGTTTTCATATTGCAGAGACTTTAAAAGCGTTTTTTAATTTTTGGTCGTTGTACATAACAGATTTAAATAATAAAGAGCGACTCCAAGCTGGCATCTAACTGCACCTCTGTCAATACAGCCGCTGCGGCTCAGTGAAATGCTGCCCAGCCCATCACCTGCTGCTGGGGTTAGAGAAGCCCCTAGCCCCTGCTCTTCAGCCATCACAGCTCTAGATGTCCTCCTGCCAGTGGCTTCTTTGGTCATGGTGCCTATTAGTGACACCGAGCCAGAGAGGAGGCAGCCCCCTTTGCTCAGGCGATGCCTGGGCAGGCACCTTGGTGCTGGCAGTGCAGGGTCTGCCTTGCTCTCTGGGACAGTTAAGGGTAATTCTCAAAGCCCTTCAACCCTGATGAAATTGTAATGGTGCCTGGGCTCGTCCAGAGACTGCAATGAAACAGGACAATGCTGCTTCCCTAGACCAATGGCCCATGCAAATCCAAATCTAGCTCCTGGGAGGGGATTGTACATGGGTGTGGGGGAAAAACTGTATCCCCCGAGCCCTCATTGGAGCCAGGAAGCTGTGCAGCAGAGGGCAGGCAAGGCCAAAAAGAGAGATGGGGGCAGAGACTGGGCTCTCTCTGAGATTTCACTGGGGGCTTGATGGGCCAGCACAGTTGTTCTAGACAGGAGGCACTGCAGAGAAGGCTCTCCCCGCACAGAGAGGAGGCGGCCAATGTTAGCTGAACACAGGGAGTTGGGGGACGGGGTGGCTTGACTGGGGCAAGGCTGTGGTGGAGTTTAAAAGCAAGGATCGGTACTGAGTCTGCAGTTTGCACTTGGTCCTTGCTTCCATCTCAGGAGCCAAGAGGAGGGTGTGGCGGCATTGTACCCCCACAGCACCCACTTCCCAACAGGCAGCAAAGCCTGGCTGCACGGCAGCAGCAGGGACCCCCCCCCTTTATTTGGGGATTAGTGTTTAATCTTTAGAGTTTTTCTTCCATTTATTAACTGGGGCTGGGGGGGGGGGTGATCTTGCCTGATTGCAGCTTGGACTTTAGGCATTAAGTAGATTAAATCAAGGTCACACAGGGCATGATGGGCTGGTGCTGGGGATCCAAGCGCCCCTGCAGCCAACAAACATTTCTACAGGGAGCAGAACCCTCTGTGGCGTGTGCAGCATCCAGGGGAAACCATCCTCTCAGGGCAAGCCCCAAGCAAGTCCCAGCGGCCCTGCCCTGGGGCATCGATCTGACCCCATCCACAGGCAGCTGCTGCAGGCTTACAGTAGCCCACTAGCCCGTCCAAGATGGGGCAAAGCAGAGGGAGTGACCTCAAAGTAGTGCCCAGCTGAATGGCAGTGCTGCACGCTTTGCCCAGCAGTGCCCAGCGCTGCAAGCTTCCCTGCAGCAGTGCCCTGTCAGTTCCCAGTTAGGCCCCCAGCACAGTGATCTGGCCCCTGGCCATACCCCGCTGGGACTCCCAGTACTGCCCCTGAGGCACAGCAGTGTCTGCCCCCCCCCGGGAGGAGAAAGGGGGGGCCGTGCAGCAGGAGCCCAGGTCTGTCCCCAGGACATTTGCTCACAGGTGGCACTAGCAGCAGCCCCTCATTATGCAGAAATTAGGCTCCGTGACCCAGGAGGAGCTCAGCCCCGATTAGCTGGTTTCTCGTTAATTTGATTAGTTCAGATTATGCTGACTCTGGGCCTTGGGCTCCCTGCGTTCCAGGGTCCCTGTTGGGGAATGCCAGGTGCGGCGGTGCAGCCTACCAGCTGTTTGTCTGGACGATGGTAGCGGTGCTGACAGCCGCCAGGGAGAGGATCCCCTCGCTGGGAATCCCTCTGAAGTAAGGCGCATGTCAGGCCCTGGCTCTCACGGGCCTGAAGCTCAGCCACACACCTTACACCAGGGCCCCTCTGCTCCTCACCCATGCGCCCAAGGAAAGGGGGGTGCAGGGGACATCTGCTGGGAGCCCCGGGGCTGGGCCATTGTATAGAAATTGGAACAGGTTCTACCCAGCCTGGCCCCTGGGGCTGGGGCAGGCCTGTTCTCCTGGGCTTTGCTCCTTCCAGAGGGGGCTCCCCCCAGAGATGACTATGAGTAACCACATCACAGTTAACCCTTTGGATCCCATAAGAAGGTGGGAAATTACACTGCCCCCCCCCGCACAGATCAGCTTTGTGGGTGCTGGTCCTTGGGGCCCAATAGGGCCCTGTCCAAGCTGTTTTCTCGCATGCACTGAGGCCGCAGGAAGGGAAAAGAGCATTTGCTCGGAAATGTCATTTCTGCCCATATGGCCCGGGTGCTGGGAGAGCTCAGATTTATCCCCCATCTCCATCTGCCTGGGTGGCAGGGTCAAGCACCACAGAGCAGAGCTCAGGCTAATTCCAGCCCCTGGCCTGTGAAGAGAGAGCAGCTCTGGGGCAGGCCCAGAGAAGAGAGTGGCGTAGCTAGGCCCAGCCCAAATCCCTGTAGCCCAGCGGAGCAAGCAGCTGAACTCCCCCTCCTGCAATGCTCTCCCCCAGAGCCTGGGCCTGGGGTGTGTTAGATGCAGCCTCAAGGGGGCTGGGTTTGAGGTGATTAGTAGGGACTCTGTCCCATCAGCTTGTCCCTTGGGAGCCAGGCACCTTCCATGGCCATTAGGCTCTGGCACTGCGATGGCCATGGAGAAGCGGGATTGGGGGGGATTTAGCTTTAGGGTCCCAGTGCTCTGGGAGCAGCAGCAGTTGGTGAAAGGGATTATAGGGAGTTAGGCAGAGATTGATTAAAGTGAGTTTAGTTGGAGATTAACGGATCATGGCAGATAACAGGGAGACTGCCAATCAGCACATGGGCACGAGCAGAAACGCATGGGGTGAGTGACCTGGAGGGGGGCGGGGGCTACAGCACCAGCCCAGCTGCTCCCTGATCCCAGAGAGGGGAAAACCTCCAGCATCAGCCCCACCCCCATCATAGAAGCTAGAGCTGGCCCTGGGGAACCTGCAGCAGAGGGAGGTCCTGAGAGAAGGGCAGGTTTCTGGCTGCTTGGAAGCAGGGCCAGGGGAGCATCTTTACTTCCTCTGCCCCTGCCCCAGCCCCAGCCCCAGTGTTAGCCCCTCCCCACATCCCAGCTGGATCCTGGCCCCAGGGGAAGCCCCCAAGGGCAGGCACCTGAGCATGCTGCAGGGCCCTGGCAGCTCCTGGGACAGACTCCTTCCAGCAGGTCTGGGAGGAAGGAGCTAGTTCTGACAACTTCCCCAGAGTCAGAGCTGCGGAGATGTAGGCCTGAGGTCTCAGCCCAGGGCAACTCCAACCCTGGAGTAGGAGCTCCTCAGCTGGTGAAGCATAGGATGGGCATACCCCTGCCCTCGACGGTGCTCTGTACTGCCCCGCCGACCTCTCCGAGGGTGCCACCCATCCACCACACCACTGTGTGACTGAGTTCTAATTGTCCCTGCCCCGTGCTTCTGTCCCCAGCCCCAATGGCCCCGGTGCCAACACCCTACCCGCTCCCATGCCTTTGTGTTCATCATCCGCACCCCAGCTGCCACCTCTCCACCCCACCCAGGGTCCCCCATGCTGCCAAGGGGTCCAGGGGCCATAACAGCTCCTGGCTTGGCCTCCCTGGGGCAGTGGCAGAATCCTGACTGGGATGACATAGGTGTGTGTGTGGGGGGGGGGTTGGGGTTGTGTTGAGGAGTCTGGGACCTTCCTCCCGCATTTCCCTCTGGGTCTGGGGCGGTCCCTGTGGTGATGCTGGTGCTGTATCCACAGAGCCCTTGGGTGGCCGGTTCAGTAATGCCAGGGAAGCAGTCTTGGGTGGGAATGTTTACTGGCTGAAGCCTGGAACTGTGTGATACAGACAGGGCCACAGCATGGAGGGAAAAGGCAGGAGCAGGGAGCTCCCAGCGTGGGAGATGGAAGCATCTGCCCCAGCCCCTCTCTCCCAGCAGCTTTTCACGACACCTTCACCACCTGCATGATGTTGGTGTAGCCGGCGCCAGGTCTCCAGCCTGTCACGATAATGACGACATCATTGGAGCGCAGGAATCCACGCACCCTCCCTGGGGGGAGAAGGAGCTGGTGAGTGAGGGGACAGCAGGCTGGGGAAAGGTCAGGCAGGAGCAGCGGGGGCACGGTGGCCCTGGCAGGGTCCCCATGGAGCAGCAGGGGGATGGGGAGCTGGCTGGGTCAGACAGATGGCGTGGGGAGGGAATTGCTGGGGGCTGGGTGGAGTGGTTGGGGCTAGGCACTGAGGGAGAGCGGCGGGGAGAGACCGTGCCAGGCATGGGGTAGAGGGGAGCTGGCTGAGCCAGGCAGGTGTTGTGGGGAGGGTCACATTTACCCATCTCTATGCTGAACTGCACTCTACGATCCACATCATCTGCCCACACCTTCTGCTGTGCCCCCCGATAAAGCACAGGGAAGACGCCCCGGCACAGGTGCGCCTGGCGTGCCACCTGCTCGTTCCGTGTCACGGCAATGATGAGGGCACGAGGCCGGTAGCGGGAGATCAGCTGTGCAGACCTGTGAGAAAGGCAGGAGGGTAAAAGGAGTAAAACAGCTCCAATTCCCATATTCGCTCCCTGGATTCAGCCTGGTGTGCGGACTGGATTTCAGATTGGGAGTGCACTCTAGTGGTTAGAGCAGGGGGGCTGAATCGGGACTCCTGGGTTCCCTCCTGAGCCTGGGGGGGCCTAGTGGTAAGGGTGCAAGAGGACTAGGAGTCAGGACTCCTGGATTCTATCCCTGGCTATCACTTACAAGCACCTCAAGTCCTTTCCCCTTTCTGTGCTTCAGTTTCCCATCCATGCAATGGGGATAGCCCTGTTTCCATTGCGGTCTGTGAGATCTGGAAGCGCTGTGAGCTCCCAGCAGAAAGGGCGCTAAACAGGCCAGGGGTTAGTGATACACAATGTTCCATGGGGAAGGTTCCAACCCACTGGTTTCCTCCTCTGTGCTGCCCCCTCCCCTGGGCACCCTGAAGGGTACAGCTTCCACACAGGAGACTGGCTCCACGCTCTCTCCAAGAGCACAGCCCCCATCCCAGGAGGCCCAGCCCTTCACCTCTTACCTGCCCGAAGTGGTCAGCACAATGATGGCCGCAGCGCAGCTCTTGAAGGACGCCTCCACGGCCCCAATGGCTGTCACCTCAGTGGGGTCCTGGCTCAGAGGGGTCACCTTGCGCAACTCCTCAAACAGCTGCTGGTTATAGATGGCGGCCTCGGCCTCCCTGGCAATCTGCAGAGAGACCAAGCAGCTGGTGAATGAGCTCACTACAGCCTACGCACCCCACCCTCTCTACAGCATGCCCTGCTGGGGGAGACTGAACCATGAACTGGCTGCTCCCGCCAAAGCCACACTCCCACCAACCCCCATAGCGCCCCCTGCGGAGAGAGGCGCATGCTGGAGTAGCAGAAAGCTCCTCCCATAGACAGCACCCCCACTCCGCTCTCCATAGCACCTCCTGCTGGGAGAGGCCAGGCTGAAGTGCTCTTATGTCTCTCCAGGGTACGCACCGCATGCTGCATGCGCACAGCTTCCACGGGGTAGGCCCCCTTGGCTGTTTCTCCTGACAACATGATGCAGTCAGCTCCGTCCAGCACAGCATTGGCCACATCGCTGCTCTCTGCCCGGGTGGGACGGGGCTTCTTGATCATGCTCTCCAGCATCTGTGGGGGAAAGGGAGGGAGATGTCAGGGACATGTTTCACATAATGATGTGGCCTGATCCTCATTGCTAGCGCCAGACCAGCACTGCACCCAGCATTCCCAGGTGGAGCCCTGTCCCCAGGGCTCCCAGGCAGATATAGGGGTTGGGGGTTTTGCCTAGTGCCCCAGACCTGGTGGGGCAGGCTCTGGAGTCCCCAGCTGGGCACAGTGGGATTGGGTCTGTCCGGGTCGGCTCATGCTGCTCAGGGGACCAGACTCACCTGCGTAGCACAGATCACAGGCTTCCCGGCACGGTTGCAGCGGCCAATCATCATCTTCTGAGCCAGGAAGACTTTCTCAGCTGGGATTTCGATGCCCAGGTCCCCACGAGCCACCATTATTCCATCACTGGCTTCCAGGATCTCATCGAACCTGCAGCCAGGACAGAGCCAGGCTCAGTGCTATGGGCAGGGCCCAGAAGAAACCTGGCGCTGGTGTCCACCACCCCAGCCAGCTCCCAGGGGATACTGCACTGCTGCAGAGGGTGTTAACAGAACCAGTGAGTCGAGCGGTTAGCGTGCAGAAAGGCAAGTCGGGAGCTCTGGGCAAGAGGAGGGCACAAGTAGGAGTTTCTCTTTCCCATGGCCGATTTTACAGATGGACAGATAGGGCAGTGTTCCGGAGTGCCTGATTCCTGGGACTGCACCCAGCTGTGTGCAACTCACCTGTAGGGGATGGGTGGGAGGCAGCTGGACACCAGGTACTGGGAACGCAGAGGTACACAGACAACGGGGTACATCACTCTGTGCAGTGTGCAGCTGAGGGTGATCAGTGGGGCAGAGGGACAGACAGACGCAGGGCAGAGATGGACATGAGGGGGCAGGTGCTTGGTGGGGCAGAGGGACAGACGGACGCAGGGCAGAGATGGACATGTGGGGCAGACAGACACAATGGACATGGTGGGGGTGGGTGCTCATTGGGGCACAGGAACGGATGGATGCAGCGGGACTGGGAGATGGACATGGGGTGGCCAAGTGCTCAGTAGGACACAGGAACAGATGGACAGGGGACAGATGGACACTGGGAGGGGGAGTACTCGGTGGGGCAGAAGGGCAGATAAGACAGTTACTTTGTGACACCCTCGTGGTTCTCGATCTTGCTGATGATCTTGATAGCGCGGCCGCGCTCGCCCAGCACGTCCCGGATAGCGGCCACATCTGCGGCTTTGCGGATGAAGGAGGCGAAGATCATGTCCACACCATGCTGCAGCCCGAAGTGCAGGTCACGGATGTCCCGCTCGGACACAGCTGGGAGGTCAACCTCTGCCCCTGGCAGGTTGACCCCCTTGCGGCTACACAGCATCCCACCATTTTCCACCTCTGTTATGCAGCTGTCAGCACCTGGCCAGGGAGAGAGCGGCTGGGTCAGGCTGAGACACCCTGCCCAAGGGAGTAGCATGAGGCACAGAGGGGGCAGCATGGAAGCTCAAGGGGGCAGCAGGGGGCATAGAGGGGGCAGGGGTGAGGGAATCACATGGAAAGGGGACAGGCGACTTAGGCGGGGGGCAGCACAGACATGGGAGGCAACAAGGAGCAGTGCAGACACTCCAGGAGCGTGGGCTGGGAGCCAGTGCAGAGCCTTACAGAGCGGGGGGGGGGACGGGGACGTACTGATTTCCTTGACCAGCAGGGAGATGAGCCCATCATCCACAAAGATCTTCCCACCGACCTTGACAACGTTGGGGAGGTTCTTGTAATCCACCCAGATGGTGGCCTGGTCGCAGCACTCCTTGAAGGCATCGTCAGTGGTGACCGTCACCCGGGAACCCTTCACTAGCTCCACCTCCATGTTCTCGCCCTGCAGCAGCACAGATGGAATTGGCGCTCCATCACAGCCTGGCCTGCCCTAATCCAACCAGATCAGCTCTGCTCACCGCAGCCCAGTCCGCAATGCACCAGCCTCCACAGTCACCTTCCCAAGCCTTCTGACAACGCTCCCCCATGCCCAGCACCCACTGTCCCATGCCCAGCTCACTGACCCCTCCAATGACACACTCTGCAGCAGAGCTGGGCAGATCTCACCTTTTTGCTGCTGATCTTGCCATACTCACCGCTTTCACCACGCCCGTGCGGATTTCCGGCCCCTTGGTGTCCAGGGCGATGGCCACAGGGCGGTTGAAAAGGGGGTTGGAGGTGAAGCTCTCAGTTGCCTCCCGGATGTTTTCAATGGATCCAGCATGATACTGTTGGAAAAGAAGGGCTGGGTCTTCAGGGCAGGCACCATTCAAAGGCCCTGTACCTTGTCCCCAGGGACCCTGCCCCACCCTGGGGCTCTGCACCTTTGCCACTATCCTTACCCATCCTGGGACCCTGCCCTGCCCCTCCCCTATCCCCAGGGTCTCTGTGCTCTGCCTCTGGGACTCTATCCCCAGGGTAGGCCCCATCCTGGGTCTGCCTCCAAGTCTGCAGGAATCATTTCCCATCCCAGCTCCTTCCCCCAGAATGAGGAATCTTCCTCCTTCCAGCCTCACCAGACAGGACTGTCCAATCACAGGGCAGGATTGCTCCCCAGCTGTCTCCAGTGGGCAGGATATTCCCTAACTGCACTACCAGAATCCCTCCACCATCCTGAGAGACTGGGGGTTCCTGGTGTGATGTGCCTCCTCCCGTACCTCATGTGAGCCATGCGAGAAGTTCAGGCGTGCAATGTTCATCCCAGCCTTAATCATCTCCCTCAGCATCTCCACAGAGCGGGAGGCAGGACCTGCAAAAGCATGGGGCTCAGGTGAGTACTGCTGATGGGCAGGTGCCTCCCACCCCACCCCCTCCCTAGGACGTGCCTCTCCCCCACCCCACAGACACCCCTCCCTGGCAGGTGCTTCCCCCCAAATCCATTCCCTTCCCGCCCTGCAGATGCCTCCCAACCCACCTCATGGACTCCCCTCCCCAGCAGGTGCCTCACATCTTGTTCTTACACCCCAGGAGCTCACCTGTGCCCCTCGCTCCCCCTAGACGGGTCCCTCACACTCTTATCCAAACCCAGTGTCCCTTAGAGCTATGGTTCCCTATGACCAGCCTGAGGACCGGCACCAGTCCCTGACATCTCCCTAAGACAGTTTAAGAAGGCAGCAAGCTGGTCCCTGGTATCGAAAAGGTTGAGAAACACTGCCTTAGAGGAGCCAGCACCCCCGCTGGGTTAGCTGCTGCTGTGAGCCCTCCCAAGGTTTAGCTGCAGCAGTCCATGTAGGGGAGGGGGTGGGTACCTATGGTGCAGATGATGCCGGTATTGCGGGTGGTGATGGGCTCAGAGTCGATGTCCAGCAAACAGAGATGCTCCAGGAAAGTGTCGGCCATGGCCGCTGTCAGCTGGTGCCTCTGGAAGAAGGCCGTGCCAAGCTCCTGGGTGAGGTGGGCCATGTTGTCCAGCAGCCTCAACTCAGCACCTGCTGACACAGGGACAACTCCTGTGTTAGGACCCTGCCAGTGGCACTCTCCCAGGGGCCCGTAACCCAGGCACTGGGTCAGGCTGCTTGGCTGGGTCTCTCCCATGCAGGTGAGGCAAGCAGGAAGTGGCACAGCCTTATCAAGGCACCTGACAAGTGCCCTGTGATCACTGCTGTGCCTCATGATCCGAGTGCTCACAGCATTGCTGCTCCCCGAGTGCTAGAACTCACTGCAGAGACTGGCCGTCTCCCGGGTTATTAACACCTTGTGAAATGGAGCCCCTGGATGATCGCTTCCCAGGACTCAGTGAAGGAGCAGCTGAGCAGGGCCCAGACTCACCTTCCATGGTGTGGCTCCAGAATCCCCAGGGGCTCACTTGCCCACCAGCTTCTAGCTCCAAGCCTCCAGTCACATGTGTCTCTGGGATGGACACTCCCAGCCCAAAGGTCGCATGAACAGTTAAAGACTCACCAGACCCAGGCTGACCCTGCAGCTGACTGACAGCACAGGAGAGGCCATTACCCTTCCCAGGAGATGGCAGCACCACCTGGAACACCATACAAGCTGCACACCCCTATAGAACAGGGGCTTGGGCTGCTGTCAGTCTGATAATATCCAGACCCTGAGGCCTGAGCTGTGAGTGCCAGATACTCCCACCCAAACCCTCAAATCTGTCATTAGGCACCCGAGTATCTGCCTGCCACACCTTCCTCTCCATCTGCGGCCACACAAGGACAGAAAGATGCAGAGCCGGAGTCTGCGTGGACAGAAAGGCTGCACCCATTCCAGTCTCAGTGAGAACACAGGAGTCTGCCCCAGCTGGGATAGTACGTGGGCCCAGGGCCAGTCCTTAGCTGTGGGGTGACAGGTAAGGCCTGGCATTTCCATCTCAGACACTGTTATTACTAATGCTCCTGTGGCATTATAACATCACAGACACTCCTCAGAACCAATAGACACGCCCCCCACCCTAGAGAAGGAGGGGTAGGCTTGGGGTGAATGGGAATAGCCCTGGGGAAGCCAGTGGAGTTATATTGTGGGAGAGTCAGGCCCCAGCTCCAAGATCCGTCCCCAGGAGGAGAGATGAAAGGGTGAGGGCCCTTGCCAGGATAGGGACTGCAGTCTGTGCTCCCCCCTCCCCCTGGCAAGTCTGCACAGGAGGGGTGAGCTGCCTGCAGTGAACTGGGAGCCACCCACCTCGCTCAGGTTTTGCTGCTGCGTTTCCTTCTCAGCGGCAATGTGGTGACGCCCAAGTGAAAAAAAGAGGAAGTGGAAGCAGTTTCCTTACTCTCTGCCAGCCCCTCTTGAGCCGCCCATTCTCAGCCCCTCCCTGCTCCCTTCCCTGCTGCTCCCTGGCCCAGGCAGTGTCCCACTTCCACCCAAGGCAGCTGGGGGCATCCTCTTCCTGAACTGTTATCCCAAACCCCATTTATTGGCTCAGCCCAATGCTGGGGTGTCCCAGTTACAGCAACTCCCAGCCCCCATCCCTGCCCCATGCACCACACATCTCTCCCCCGATGCTGGTATGTGTCCTAAGAGCCCCGTGGTCCCAAATCCCCCTCTGGGCAGGTGTCAACTGGTTCTCCCATCTCCCTGTTCCTGCTCCCAGGGGAGGGCCACAACACCCTTGCTTTGGCTTCCTGTCCAGGCAGGTGACTGCTGCTCCCCTTGGACAATCAGGCCTGGAGAGGAGAAGGATTATAGGGGCTTACAAGAGTCTGGCACTCCCGAGCGGCTGGGAGCCTCTTCAGCCCCTGGAGCAGCTCAGAATCCCTTACAGACACTTTAGCCCTTCACCACCCCCTGGGCTGTGCCTACTGGAGGTGCAGCCCAGAATCTCAGTCCTACTATAGACAGGCTGCCAACCCCTGCTATGCTCAAGGGTCAAATTCCTTACAGTCATCAGACCCAACCCCCTCCCCGTCACCCCAACCCTCTCCCCTCAGCCCCCTTCCTCTCCCCTTCACACCAGTCCCCTCCCCTCAGCCCCCTTCCCCATCACCCCCAACCTCCTCCCCTCAGCCCCTTCCCCATCACCCCAACCCTCTCCCCTCAGCCCCCTTCCCCATCACCCCCAACCTCTCCCCTCAGCCCCCTTCCCCATC